GTGAACATATATTTGCGCTTATATAAAACATCCTGGGTCAACAAAGCAGCATGTGTTCCTCGCAGTAACAGCAGGACCCGTTGGCTCCGGTTCAGCCAGCTTTACATTGACTGGGGGTTTTTATAGAGCCATGTCCTGCAGGACTGAGCTCAGCACTGAGAAAACACAGGCCCTCACAGCTCCACATCTGCGCTGTCATCTGCACCCTCAGCCAAAGGGGTCATTGGGTTCGTTTCCCGGGCCTCCCTCCTCAGACAGAACAGTGTCAGTAACCTGAGACGGAGCCGACATGTTGTCCTCAAAACAGAGCAGGCACATCTGTTTCGGATGAATGTCCGTGTTTGTCGGCGTGTTTGTCGGCGTGTTTTCTGCGCTCGGAGGAAACGGCTGATGTCTTTAAATGTCCTGTGTAATAATAAGAGAAAGCCTCTGCTAGCCGTAGCTAACGACCACTGTTTCTGTCCACCAGCCATTCGGTTTGGTCGGATGCCACAGGCGGAGAAGCTGAAGCTCAAGGCAGAAAGCAGAATGGTGGAAAAAGACGTGGAGAGCCCCCTGCTGGCCGACCACAAGGTTCTGGTCAGGCAGATCCACGAAGCCTACATGAAGAACTTCAACATGAACAAGGCCAAAGCTCGGCTCATCCTCACGGGAAAGACCAGTAAACCGGTAAATGAGGAAGTTATTAGCTTTTTAGCGAATTAGCTTATGAGCTAAAGACAGCTAACTAGAGTTGATGTTACAACAGAACAAATCATGTCTTTGCCTGCCCATATATTATTTTTAGCATTATTCGATTTAATTTTAATTGAATTGATTTTTATTTATTTATTTAAAAAGTTGTTTGAAAGTTTATCATTGCAAAGATGAATTGAGAGAGAATGATGCAGCAGCAGTTAGCACAGATGCTAGAAAGAAAAAAAAAACATGGTGTGGAATTTTTCTATTCAGCAAACCAATAATAAGTTGTCTGTTCTTGAATAGGTTGAAAAACGGCCACATCGTTCATCCTCAGTATTTTTCATTTTCTCTTTTGTCTTTCGCAACAGCCTTTCATCATCCATGACATGGAGACGTTCCAGCTGGCGGAGAAGACGTTAGCGGTCCATATGGTAAACGGTGAGCCCCCAGATGCTGAGAGCGCTCCTCGGTGTGGGGATGTGTTCGCAGGTGTGGTTTGCGGGGAGCTGGAGCAGAGGGAGGCCGAAGCCCGGCTCTTCCACTGCTGCCAGAGCACTTCAGTGGAAACAGTGACAGAGCTGACAGAGTTCGCTAAAGCAGTGCCAGGTTTTCAGGATCTGGATCTGAATGATCAGGTGGGTATCTGCACAAATCAGAGGAAACCACCCTTGAAATAATACAAATTGCAATTAATTGCTGTATATTGTGTATGTATGTATATATATATATATAAATTATATAGTAACAAACAGTAGCTAAATAATATGTAAATAGCTTAACATTTACACTGCAACCCAAAATTAGCCTACTGTTTTTTTATCTCCCAAAGAAAAGCCAATTTGGTAAAGGAAAATGACCAAAATACTGAAGAAAAAGTTAGTCAAATATTATAGCAAAAAATGTCAAATGCTCAGAAAAATAGCACAACATTAGCACAGGAATAAACCTGTTTTTTGGCTCAGCAAAAAGGGTAACATTTACTTAAATAATATTAAGAATTAGATTGAATTGTTCAAAATATACAGTAGAAGGAACAGTGACAAGATGTTTGAAATTGCCCAAGGTGAATAAATAACTTGCCAAAGTATGTAATATTTATCCAACATGGCTAACAAGCTAAAGTAGCCAAATGCTAACATAAAAGTAAGAAATAGACTTTATTATTTCTCCAAACATGTTTAACATAGTAAACAATCTTTTGTTGGAGTGAATTTTCTCAACTGTATGTTTTTTTTCTTTCTTTTGCTTTTATCTTTTTTTTGTTTTCATTTTTTCGCCTTTCCTTCAGGTGACTTTATTAAAGTATGGCGTTCATGAAGCCATCTTCACCCTGCTGGCTTCATGCATGAACAAAGATGGCCTCCTGGTGGCCCGGGGAGGAGGCTTCATCACACGTGAATTCCTCAAAAGCCTCCGTCGTCCATTAAGCGACATGATGGAGCCAAAGTTTCAGTTTGCCACTCGATTCAACTCCCTGGAGCTGGACGACAGTGACCTGGCCCTGTTTGTGGCTGCCATCATCTGCTGTGGAGGTGAACCAATACCGCTGTACTATTACTGCAAATACTGCTTGTACTGCTACCACAATTGCTGCTGCTACTACTACTGCTAATACTTCTGATTCTACTGATACTACAACTGATAATAATTCTACTGCTTCCACTAGTGTTACTGTTATGGTATTATTATTGTTGCTAATTTTACTACTGTACTACTATTATTATTGTTACTACTGCTAATAATACTAATACCATACAACAACTGCTACTACCACTTTAAATATTATTTCTAGTATTAATACTAATATGACTGCTACTTCTGCTACTACTATCACAGCAGCTATTACATATGCTGCTACTGCTTACTGTTGCTACTGTTATCACTACTCTAAAACTACTGCTACTACTGCTTAAAATATTATTGCTTGTTTTACTATTGCTATAACTATTACTTCTGTGACTTTTACTACCTTTACTACCTTTACTACTGTGACTAAAACTTCTCGTCTTCACTGTCTTCTGTGTTTTTCAGACCGTCCTGGACTGGTGGACGTTCCTCTGGTGGAGCGGCTGCAAGAGAGCATTGTCCAAGCACTACAGCTCCACCTGCTGGCCAATCATCCCGACAACACCTTCCTCTTCCCCCGGCTTCTTCAGAAACTGGCTGACCTGCGGGCACTGGTCACTGAGCATGCTCAGCTCGTGCAGGACATCAAAACAACGGAGGACACGTCACTGCACCCTCTGCTGCAGGAGATCTACAGAGACATGTACTGACGAGTCGGCACGCCTTGGTCCGACGTTGGAAAAATGTCAAGATGTCAAACCAGCCGCAGCTGCTGTGATGACATTCACAGATACTCCCATACATATCAATGTCCTGTAGGTAACTCTTTGTGCGATTGTTACTGTGGACATGGACTGCTGTGACCAACTCACCATTGGAACCAAATCGAAGTGACGTTCCTGAGACCGGAGTACCACAAGGAAAAAGGAACCCTCACCACACAGCGTTTAGTTGGGGCCATCTGCAGTCGTTCCTGTCTTCCATTTTCCTCAAAGCTACTAATGGAAAACTATGCAAATACAGACATTTAATTAAACAAACGCCATAGTTATAGCTGCACTGATTTAACTGGCTAACTGTGTACAATAATGTGAACTGGAACGTAAACCATTGCCTTAATCTCAGTTGAGTGAATGATTTGAGCCACATTTTCTCAGAACTTCTTGCCATTAAGGGTTAACTCCACCACTTTGGGTAACGTTTCGTCAGATAAGCACCTCTGTTGTAACCACACAAAGAAACACGGTTGATCTATAGTTTAACTATTTAATCTTTGACCAGGGAATGTCTTTCATATTAATAAACCAACTGTCTTTTGGAAATACTGTCATTTCAACTTCTATACATTTATTTACCCAGGCACATCATTATAGATTACATTAAAACACCTCATTATCAGTTTAGGGTTACTACATACAAACTAAAATATATTTGCATAGTATTAAAAAAGAAGTGCCAGTATTTTTACTGTTTTAGACACAAACACCGCTGCTGTTGGATGTTGTATTTTGTAAATATAGCCAGACTTTGCTGACCACAGTAAAAGGAACAAGTTAGAAAAAAAAAAAACTACAGGCATTACCTTTCAATGTTGTACTAAAATGTTGGTAGCAAAACTGTTTTTTTTTAAACATGTATAGTAGAGTTTACAACAATATAATAACATACAATACTTGGGGTTCCAGTGTGGTAGAACTAAATAAATAGCTATATTTGTCTAATTTATTTTCTTTATTTTCTATTTCCCTTACGTTTTTACCAGTCTAATGAAGCAGCTGTTATATTGTTTATGTTGTTTGCTTAAAGTCTAATTGTTAATAGCTTTTTGTTTCAGCAAGTAACGTTTGGCTAAGTTAGCTTTTTATTAGACACAAGGTATTTTTTCTTCTAGAATCTTCTACAGTAGTAGAGAATTTTAAACACTATATTAACCTTAGCAGCTACATTTCAGTTAAGTTTGTATAATCTTCTTTTTGAGTATAAGTGTTTTTTTTCTAGGCTTACATTTATTTTGCTATCATGGGTAACTGAAAGTGTTGTTCTGTAGCAAATTTTAGCCGTTGGGTAAGTCATCGGCTATTTTCGGGCTACCATTTTGAATTTTGAGGTTTAAGCCAAACTGACTTGGTTATATTTAACCTCTGTTTGTGTTGATTTAAAGCTGTTTAAAGTAAATTATATTATTTAATTATGCTTCGTAATTGTTACACGACAAATTACAAGTAGTGTAATACAAGACGGAGCTCTACAAAGATAAAGCCAAATAACGTATTTAAAACTTGAATTTGGTGTGACGTGGTTTTCCACTGCTCCCCCGCGTCAGTAGGTGGCGGTAAAGTTTCGTGCAAAAAGAAAAAACAAAAACGTGAAGGCGGATCCCATTGAAATCCAGGATGTAGCTGGCTGGCGCTATCACTTGTTTGTTGGACCATGGAACAAAACACACACCAAAGCAGTTCAAAAACATTTATTTGCCAGTTATGTGACTTAACCAGTCCGTATTCTTACTATGGACAGAAGCCACCAAACACTAGAGCGATAGTGTAAGTAAAAACCAGGGCATCGCTGCCACAACTCTCACGCCTTAGCGCGCTAACCGTGCTAAAGCTAACGGCGACAGCTGCTGTCAATGTCCATGTTCTGTGTGAACGACAGTTTCTGACACACTTTTAATCATTCCTGCCTTGAAACATTTAGTATCTAATAACAAGAAAAGTAAAGCAAATATTTTAACACGTGTCTGTGCTTCTGCTATCTGGTCAGGTTACTGGAGGAGTGTTTTGTGACCAGGGACCCCTTCAGTCCAGACAAGGAAAAGTTTCTGGTCCTCGGATCAACCTGCAGCCTGTGCAACTCGTGTGTCTGTGTTGGACAGGTGAGATTCTGTTATACATCTCTGTGTATTATTAATAACTTTATTTCCCTAAGTGTTTAAAGTAAGTTTTAAAGGTGTTCAAGACATAGTAGGCTGGGATTCAACATTGCTGTTAGTAAACAAAGAGCACGTTGCTGGTAAAACTGCCAGTTAAACACAGCTGGACTATAGGTAAGTTGGTACAATGACTTGAAACTGGTCAGGTTATTTTCAAAGTAATGAAATTCATCCATTTCTTTTGACGTTCACCTTTCTCTGTTGCTCATCTAGATGGCGCTATGAGAGCAGCTGCCTGTTACCACTGCTTCTGTTTTTCATCCTTTTTTGGCCTTTGCTTTTGTATTTTTCACCCCTTGTTTTTTACTTTTTCTTTTGGTTTTTACAGTGACTAACAATGGTGCCCCCTATTGGCCTGTAGTTAACTTTCCCAGCAAAATAATCCCACCATAGGGAAGAAAAAAAAGTCCTACATTTTTGGTAGATCAGCTACATAGTAATAATTAGATTGGATTACATGGGTATGATTGTGGGGATTCTAATTTCTGGTAAGAGTTGGCATTAATAGCTCAGAGATGAAATTAGAACTCTGGTTCTACTGTACTTTGGCTGGTCCTGTGTGTGACACTGAAAACATGTACAAACTGTACAGACTTTCAAATCAATTAATCTGCTTTAGGTGATTGGACAGGGAGAGAATAAAACGCTTGTATCTGGGATTAAATGAGAGCAGTCATGGTTTGGTGCCTGTGTGAGGCTGGCACATTGATGCTCTATTTCTTCTCTGTAATTCATTTAGGACTGCAGTCTGTTCTACACCAAGAGGTTCTGCATGCGGTGTGTGAACAAGCACTTGGACCAGTTCCCTCATCAGATCCAGGCAGAGTTGGCCAAGAAGAAGGACAGATCCAAAGCTGGCGTCTCATGATGTTGGTCCAGACCCACGTCAGGTGTCGAGCACAAACATCTAAATTACTTTTGCCATAAATCACAGGTTTTTTTTTTAAATCTGAAGCTATGGACACACTTTACAGTTTTTTATAAAAAAATCTGAAGCTATGGACACACTTTACAGGATTTAAAATGACACATTAACAGAGTAGTTTCAGCAGATTTTTTTTTGACAAAGACTGGGGCTTACTACAGTTAACTACTGCGTCAGATGAAGGATCACGACCAAATACATCACACGCCCTGATTGCATACAGATTTAGCTAAAATGATTAAAACATTTGACTGACTGCAACTGAGGTCGAGTCCCCTCACACTCTTGGAGACGTTGGTGCTAACCAGGCTGGTGCAGGCTTCACCTTACTGGGAGGAGTGGGTAGAGTCCTCGGCCTTAAGCACATGAAGAAAACCTGTTGTTGTTGTTTTTAATGTTATTACTCTGTGATTTTATTACCAAGGGCGGAAATTAGCGCACATCCATTAGGATATAATAAATTATTGCTTGTAGCCAGGGTGTTACGGCCCTGCGTTGGCCAGCCAGGTTTTTATTTGTGTATCACAGGGTTTTATAGAAGCAAACAAAGAGCAGGTGTGACCGTTGATGCCAGAGCCGCTGTTGGATCGTACACACAGAAAAACACTTTGGCAATTATAACCTGCACGTAACAAAAAGAAACAATTATGTCAGTATCGCAACCAAAACCAAAAGTGTCTTTCCGAGGACACAGAGATCTGACTCCGTGTGCTAATAAGATGACATTGCATTATCTCATTAAGTCCAATGACTTTTCTCAGAACCTGTTACGTGTTTGTGCAGCTGTGGAAGTTAAAGGAGATTTAATTAAACTGCCCTGCCCTGATTTGTTTCTGGGCTTTGCAAAAAAAAGATTTTTTTTTTTTTTATATGACAGAACACACTTTTATTACAGTGCAACAGCATATGGAGCCAGTAATATTTACGACACATCTAATCTAACAAACGACACAGGCATGTGTTGACAGTGAAACATCACTCCTATTTATTTCTTTCGTTTGTTGGTGAAGTGAACTCTTGACATCTGTAGAGTTTAGGAAAAAAACAAAAACAATTTTTCTTAATGTGAAATCATAAAAAAACACCAAAAGACTGTTCTGTGTAAGTGACTCTATTCAATAATTAGTGTGTGAGTAATGCTTGTTTTTACTGTAGTTCCATCATCTCACTCAGCCGGGTTGAGTCAAATGAAACAGTTTTGTCATATTAGTATTCAGCGCCGTCAAAACTCAAAAACAACATTGTTATGACTTCGTAGGTGGAAATTTATCTGCCCTGTTTAAGGCGTTGCTTCCTGGTGAGAAGTCTCAGTCTTGGCTGAGAAAAACAAAATGCTAATGAAACAAATAAACATCTGCACAGTCATCAAGATTGTACAATTACTGCGCTGGATTCACTCACTTGTACTCTCTACCCCAGCAGAGCTGGAAAAATGAGCCCTGTATTTCCAACTGTGCAAGGAACCAAAAAAAAAAAAAAAGGAAATCACAAGAATTCCCCCAAAGCGTTGGTTCTGCATGTGTGCCCTTAACAAGATGTTCTCTGGCCTTATTTCTCCCGTGTGCCGTCTAATCAGCTTGACCAAAATCTGTTACACAGCTCATGGATCACTGTGCTCAACACAGCACCATGTGTAGGAGCCTAAACACGTTATGGATTAAGTGCAATCCCACGCCACACCACCAATAAAACAGACATCCTCAGTGTTTTTATCACGAGATGTTTGGATCTTTCTCGTGGGTTAACTGAAACAGCATGGCTTGAAGGCAGGCTCAGTGACTTTTACAGGCATAGGCTGCAGAGGAATGCAGATTGACACACACTGTATACTTTTAGTGCCGGCTGCTGTGGATGTTTTCACCCAGTTACTACAGGACTCCTCCGCAGCTCTGGGAATGAATGGAAAATAAATTTGATGAAGTCGGCTCATGAACTCCCGTTGAATTCTCTCCTGTGAGAAAAAAATGTTCTCTAAGAAAAAGAAAAGCACAAACCTCGCAGGGCAAAGGCCGTGAACATGAGTCATTGGAGGAAGCAGCAAAGAACGCGAGCAGCGGTGGCAAAGTCTGAAAGTGATAGGCAGCGTGCCAACGATGACGGAAGGCCTCTATCCTGAAGAGCTGATGTCACCAAATGCTGTAATTAAGATTTATGGCTTTCGTGGTGCTCTGCATGAAAACCTCACTCACAGACCGTCTCACAGACCCGTCTCCACAAAGTCACAGTCGTACCACTGAACTGCAGCCCTTCAGGAATCAGAGCTGTTGTCTCCGATCTGTTCTTTGAAAACGCCGTGGAGTCAAACTATCGTGATTAAGGTGTTGCACAATGCACCCAACAAATGAGCAGTTTGAGTTGATGAAGGTGAAGAAACAGACCAGAAGGTGGCGGTATGCCAATGAACCACAAAGAAAAGAAGAAATGCCCTCTTGTCATTTATTAATCCATTCATCTTCTGTGACACAAAACCTGCCTCTATTTTCTTTTCCTGTTGAACCTAGAGGCCGGTTCCACCATTTGAAATTTGATTTGGAGATCACAGTAGCCCTCAGTCCAAACGCCTTTGGACTCTGAGAGGACGCTGGAATAGAACTAGCTACCTTCATACGGAAACACAATCAGTTATCTCCAGGCGATAAACAAGCTGCCACTAGGGGTTGCGCGAGATAAGAAATGTGATGGCGGGTGGGAGTGTTTTTTGTTTTTCAAATCTATCAAATTTGTCAACCCTTTATCTAGATTTGGGGCAATCCATTTTAAGGGAAACAGTGCCACCTTTTGGCTAGATTGAGTTACTAATTGTCTCTAAGCAACATTGAATATTTACGAGCACCTTTTCGGCATGCCTTGTTCATTATAGCTCAACAGGAGTGTCATTGTCTTGGACTTATCTCGTAGCCGAAGCTAACGACGTTCCCAGTGATTGAATCAACTTCTGACCTGAAGCTGTTGATGTGACACAAAATCAGATGCAGTGTCGAGAAGTGGCGGCACTCACACAGTGGCCGGGTGATTGATTCATCTGATTGTACCGCAGACCTTCAGTAACTCACCTCTGCCTGTTACTGCTGCGGCTCAGAGTTTGGTCAGGTTTGACTGTTGTTATTTGAATTTGTTAAAATTAAAAGAGATCATTAAGAGCAGGTTTTGACCCCGATCAAAAAAGATCCCCAGAATCTTACAAATAAGGAATTCTCTGATAGAAACACAAGTTTGATTTGTACGGTGGATATGTAGAGAGGTTCCCAAACTGTGGTTCACGTACCAATGGTAGTATTTTGGATCTTAGTCTAAATCCCTGAGGATTAGGTGAATCACCTGGTTGTTACATAATGCTGTTGTTGTGTGTGTGTGTGTGTGTATAGATACTGGAACAGCTGATGGTCGTGCAGACACTCTGTTCTCGTGGGGACATGTTGCTGTTTCCCTCAGATTGAGAGGGTATTTTTAGGGTTCCAGAATTTTTGGGATCGGGATTTGAATTAGTGACAGATTAGAGTTAGGTTGAGGATTAGGATTAGGCACGTATGTGTCATGATTAAGGTTGGACTAAGAGGTTAATAAATGCACAAAAAAAAAAACAACTGTGTGGTTTTAGGATTTGTAGTAAATTCCGATACTGTTAGCATTGACCGTTTTAGGATTTGTTGTACATAGCGTAAATTCCGATACTGTTAGCATTGACCCATCTTCTTTGTATATTAGCGCTAGCTGAAAGAAGTTGACGTCGTGCTTTTGTGCTTCAACGCTGATCATATTTGTGGTAAACTGCAGTTAGTACCGTATGTGACACATGTTGATGAACACTGATGCTGATTTGTTAGCCCCTAAGACCTGTTCCACTTACCCTCAGACTTCTGTGAGGTTGTTTTTTTTTTAACCCCAGCACATTCCTGTGTACTATACATGACCTTGATTTTAAAGTGTGACCTTGAAGCCTGTCTAGATGAAAGAGGTGATAATGGGAAGACAACACGTGATCGCTCACTCCTTTGTTGCTGCACTTAAAGGACTATTATCTCTCCATTATAACGTAACTGATCAGTCAGGTGAATTAGTTCTCGGGCGGGAGTTAATCCTCCTTCTCCTCCGCGCTGCTGATGCTCCGTGTTGCTGCTGCTGCTGCTGCTGTTGCTGCCTCAGGTCTACTTTAAGAGAAATCTCTTTAAGAGAGGGCGGTCCCTGCAGCGCAACCAATGAGTCGCCTCCACTGTTTAAATAGTCCTTGATGTCAACTTCTTCACTCACAGCTCCCTGTAACGCCATGTTGGCTGTTATGGCTTGACTTGTTGTTTTCATCAGTCTTACACACGGACCTGACAGGAGTGGCTCACTTGAACGCCCCTTCTTCCTCCGGAGAACCTTTATTCCACTTTTACGCGTACGCGTTTTGGATGATACGCGTGGAGCATGCGTGCGTCATCCCTTTGACTTCACATTTTAAAGGAGTACTTGTTGGAAATAGCGACTTTGGGAAGCTTTGGTTGTTCTGTGCGGTGCATTCGGTGTCTTTTTTTCCCTCTTATGTGCATCAAAATGTCAGATGTTCGCCTTTCTAATGCGAGCCCGACATTGGAGAGGGTGGATGCGCGGCAGCAGGACAACGTCAGACCGCCAGTGCGCAGAAGCCTGTTCGGCAAACCTGATCCAGCGGAGATACGGAGGAGTCTGGATGATTTAGTGCAAGAGGGAGTGCAGACGCTCCGGGACAACTACAACTTCGACCCGGTGGAAGACAGACCGCTGAGTCCGCGCAATTTCGAGTGGCAGGAGGATCGAAACCCGCCGGAGTTTTACGTGAGACCGCCGCACCAGCGGCCAGAGAGAGACGAGGACTCGCCCGTGGAGAGTCCGCGGGAGGATGCCGCTGAGAGGAGTCTCCAGCCGGGCACGAACCGAGCCAGGAAACGACGCTCTGGAGACTTAGGTGATTTAACTTGACTTTTTTTTTCTTCTAGCTGTCACGTTCCTTTAACTCCCTTCCTATTTTTTTTTCTGCAGTGTCACTGCGCTGCAATGCGGAGGCGCCAAGCAACAAGTTGTGACCGAGTTTACACGCAGCTAAAAAAAAAAAAAAAAATGAAAGTAATGCGTAAGAAAGAACACAAAGCACGCAAACTTATTAACGAAGTTTCACCGCTGCGCGTTTACTCCACAGAGTGTACGCGCGAATCGCGCCATCGTTTTTTTTTTTTTTTTTAGATACTTTGTCTTTCATTCTACTTTAGGAAAAATTCCAAAACTTACCGAGTATTTTCCCCGGTTTTAGAGGGCGGCACAGAGACAGGCAGCTGTCCCCGGATAGAAGGATCCTGTCAGCCGTAGTTACGTCTTCGTTTTACCTCCTCGTTTTTTATTTATGTATTTATTTAACATTAAAACGCCAGTGGAAAATAAATCTCCGCAGAATCGTAGTCGTTTTGCCTCCGTCTGTATGAGAAACGGGAGCTTTAAATACTACCGTATGTACGTCCACCTGAAAGATACGTTGTATATAAAGTATTTATGTGTAAATACTTTAGTTTTAACGATATTTTTTCTGTTTACTATTTCCTGTCGATCAGTGGTTAAATCAGCGCCCCCCCCCCTCCGTTTTGCCCCCCCTTTTCCTCACCCTTTAAACATAGATTATTTTTTCAATGCATTGAGTTGCAATATTTATATAACTATATATAACTTTTTTTTTCCCAACATCATTTCCTCCAGGTTCCTGCTCCACTGAGTCTCAGGGTGCAAAAAAATCGCATACCGACGAAGATGATGATGATGATGGTGGTGGTGATGATGAAGATGACGGTGCAGGGAGTCAGGTTTTAGGAGCCCTGCAGGAGAATGGAAGTTCCGTGGTCGTGTGACAAACCGCAGCAGGTACAGTAGGTTTTCATTGTTCTCTCTCTCCCTGAAATAATGTTCAGTAAAAAAAAAATTACACCGTAGTTACTGGAGGAATCAGCCACTGCTGTCAGAAAAAAGATTACACCGTATTTACTGGAGGAATCAGCCACTGCTGTCACCTTCACATTTGATTTTTTAAAATTTTGTTTTATACTGACTTTTGAGAGCTGAAAATAACAAATCAGTTGTTGGGAGGGAAAAAAAAAAGATGCAACCATTTCCCCTAATAAGCTTCAGTTGCCGTCTGCATACACACTTCATTTACCGGCAAGAATAATAAGCATGTGCTGTTGTCTTTGGCACAGTTTGAGTTCTGTTTGACATCAGCATCAACAAAGTTGTAAACACATTTCTCTCTCTCTCTCTCTCTGTGTCTCTGTGTCTCTGATCCGCTGCACGCAGCACTCACACGTCAACATTCCAATCCTCCACAGCCATTCACACTGTGTCTGTGTTGGTGTGCATGTGTGAATCAGATGAGATGTGTAGTGCACCGTTCAACAACCTGTGTCCTCTCTTACGTCCCACAGAGACATGGAGACCTGTTGCTGGTGTATCATCATCTGATGGACAGAGACAGAGAAAAATGTCATGAAAAAAAAAAAAAAGATCGACAGCAGAAAAAAAAAAAGAAAAAAAAAACAAACAACAGCCTTTTTTCCGGAGAGGTGGAGAAGAAGAAGAAGAAGAAGAAGAGGCTGCACAAGCACTGAATATGTACACTATCAAGTTTCGGCACTCGTTTTTTTTTTTTTTTTTTTTTTAATTAAATTGCCTCAGAAGCAGCAGACGATGTAGCAGTGTGCAAAAGGATTTTTTGCTCAACTTTTTTTTTCTTTCTTTTTTTTTTTTTTAAATCTACTACCTATGTTTCAGATGTAGCACATACAAAAAGCATCATATGCTTTTCATGACTTTTTTTTTGTTTGTTTTTAATGTATTTGAGTTAAGTGTGTGAATTTGACTCGGGAAGTTGCAGTGCAATTTTCAGCAGAGAAATTATTATTTTTGTTGTACTATCTTTCAGGTAATTTGATGTTAAGTTGCAAATGCAGATTTAAGAAAAAAAAAACAAACAACAACAAACAAACAAAAAAAAAACCAACAACAACAACAATATCAGGGTTGTGTGGAAACTAAATGTCTTCACTTTTTCTATGGCTTTATTTTGTCCCAGTGTTAAAACATCACCAGTGTAAAAGTCAAGGGTCCATCCACCTGGGAGCAGCCATGATAGATCAAGTTTACATGAAAAAAAAAAAAAACAAAAAAACAACAAAATTCCACCTTTACCACCCTATTGTATGTTAAGGAGTTTTTCTTTTTTAATTTCTTTATGGGATTTTGCCAAAGTTTGTACCTTTGTGGATGGGGTTGGTGGGGTCACGGGGGGGGGGGCAGGGGGAGGGGAGGGGGAGGGAAGGTAAGGGAGGGCAGGGCAGGGCGGCGAAAAACTGCTTAGCAATATCCGACCAAATTTTAACAGTATTTGCTAATAATCCTAAGATTTAGATTTTATTATATTCAAATTAGGTAAAAAAAAAACAAACATATTTTAACGGCTCCTCTGTGGCATTTTCCCCAGGCCTTTGTAATACACCCCACAGTCCAGGTCAAACGGAGATGAAAGGTGTTAGAATCACTGGGCTACTTATTATGCAAATATGTGAATCAAAGATTTGTGTTTGTGGTGTGGAATTCATGTGGAACATGTAATTGCACTATTGTTAATTCCTCTCTTTTTTTTTTTTTGTGAAGGCAGAAAAACAAAGTTACACTGCCTCATATTTGGTGTCAAACTTTGAAGTGTACCTGTGTGCCTTTTTTTTAATTATTTTTCCAAAACACTGAAAAAAGTTTTACTAACTTATTTATATTGAGCTTTTCCTTTTTTTTTTTTCTTCTCGTGGGTGTATGTATAGCTTCCCAAAGCGAAGTTTTCTGTGCATTTTTTTGTAAATAAATATTTTCATTATTATTTTTAAAAAAATAAACTGTTGCAAAACTGAGCCTAATAATCAATTTCATACCCAGTGTGTTTTGTATTTTTTTTTAAATTTATTATTTTAGAGTGAAAAAACAATGCTGGGTGGAATAAAGGCATGTGTTCACTATTTTGATTGCACAGCACACACATACACACACACACACACTCCACCCTTAGCAAACACACACTTTAGGTTTGCAGTAGAACAGCCCATGAGAAGTGACAGGCTGCAGAGTCCTGCAAACAGGAGACGGAGTGACAGCCGTGTTATTAAGCAGCACTAATGAACGACGTGTGGGTGTGACGTACAATCACTGCGAACGTTTGTAAATCACACGAGAAGTAGTGCTTCTGCAAAAAGTACTTATGTAAAAATCTGCATAACAGGAACTCCACTTTTTAAATACATCAAAATCACACACACACACAAAAAAAATCAGTTTTGATTTAAGCCTCGATTAAAACAACAGGTTTCAAACCCGCAGCTCCTGCAGCCGAGTGCAGAAACTCTCAGCCCGGCTCTGCAACTCTGAGCTTGAAAACAACAAGGGTATGTCCCGGGGAAAAGGAGGGTGTGGGTGAGGGCGGTGAGTTACTGACTTTTCCCAGCTCCAATCACAGCAACCAGACGAAAAGCACACCACTCAGGAGTCAGCCAGTCACAGCGCCGTGGGCGGGAACCCAGGACAGTACAGGCTGTTCTTTTCATAAAACACACACCACACAATTAGTTTCATTGGCTGACTCTTTCCTGTTGATACCAGCCTGGAAGAGTCAGAGAGAGAGAGAGGGGGAGGGAGAGAGAGGGAGGGAGGGAGAGTGTGAGCTTTTACTGACTGTGACTCATGGCCTCTCTGTAAACTTTTGGAGGGAACAGTAATACTTAGCTTATATTCAAAGAAAAAAAAAAAATCTGTTCACTGACTTCACAAAGGGGTTTGTAAATGACACTGACATCTTGAAGAAAAAAACATGTCTTTCATATGTTTATATATATTGCAAACATTCAATTTTCTTAGCTAACAGACATTTAGTAAAAAAAAAAAAAAAATTATATAAACTGAAACATCTCCCCTAGGGGGCGCTATAGCAATTCTGGGCCCATTCAGCATTCTGGCTCTGCACAAAATACATTTTTTTAAGGAATGTATTTACCTGTCCTCTCAACATCGCTCTGACATTTGAACCTTGGTTTTTAATAATTAATGTCCCTTAATGTCCTCGGAGATTTTTTAGTAGCTGTAAAGCAGTGTTGAAATGTTAAAAAAAGTTAGCTTTTTCAGAAGACACTTCTGTACAAATAATTGTACAGAAGACACTTCTGTACAAATAATTAACAAATATTAAATATATATATATATATATATATTAACATTGTTTTACCTCTGTTTTTGGTCAGGGTCAACTGAAAAAGGGAAAGTCAAGTCAAAGAAAATCTCTGGCAGTTGGACATCCTGGTGAGTACAGTGTACATGTATGTTAAGCTAGCACTAGCATAAAACCTCAGTTTACAGAAAAGAAATACACACAAAACTCGTGTTTACTCGAGTGTACTGTATACGCAAATAAATATTTGTGAAATGAAGCTTTTCAGTAGCATTACTATTTGCTCGGTGCTGGGGTTTACGCAGGTAAGTCAACATATACGCAGATGACACTGTGATGTTATGCATGTATTTTAATGTAAAAAAAAATTATAATCTAGAAACGTCGTTAAAAAGTATCTTTTTTTTTTTGTTGCAAAAAGCCGCCTCCTAACAGTTCCCAGTGCTCCACCACTGCAGTCAATAATCCAGGGCAGTGAACGGAGGTTGTTCCAAATCAGGGCAAAGCACCGTCGCAATCAAACCTCAAACCAAACTTCTTATTACCCTGTTAGCATTGATTTGTGCTCATATTATTGACTGAAATTCCATATCCAATTTAACAAACTTTTCACATTATAAGTCAGGACTGTCGACCCAGAGTGGGTGGGAGTCGTACATCTGATAGAACTCTGCCGACCTCTGCCATCAGTCAGATGTTTCTGCCTACAATTATAAACTGTTCCAGGTCTTCATTAACCGTGTGCAACACAGCATGTAAACAGGACCGCTGGATGGAAAGTCTCTGTCACCGTACTCAGATTATGGCATGTGAAGTACATCAAGATCACAAATTACAACCCTGAGTCCAGGAGTTAAATCAGGGGAAGACGTTAAACCGACTCATGACGTTCTGCTGACGGTTCCTATAAGTGACAGAACGTCCTGGTCATTGAAACACCAATTTCCTTTAGATTTTCTCTGGTTTCCAGCCACAGTGTAATGGCAATAACATACAGTAGCGTATAGCAGCGGTTTCCCTGCTTGTCATCCCTTCCTGCTGCTTCTTAGATTTTAATTTCATTTCCTTAATATAACGAAGGGAACTCCTGAGGGATTAATGAAGTTCTATCCAACCATCCATCCATCCACCCATCCATCATCCATCCATCCATCCATCCA